TATATATTTTAAGTTTTTGTACAACATTAATATAATATACTTTTCTTATATACGATAATATTTTTTGGATAAAATAAGATATAAGTTGTTTTGAATGAGCTATTAATAAACAATATTGAACTAATAAACTTTGTATTACGCTATTTATATTACACCAAAACATCCAAGGTTTCATATATGAACTTTCAAATATTAAACATTGAAATTAAGAATGAAATCATACAAAATATATCATTATACATAAATGTCATCAAGAGTTTTAAAATAAGTCGATTAGTAAATATGATATTTAATTTTAATTACATATTTTGCAAGGCGTACGTTTGACTTTATTTTGGTGCGCCGAGAATTCTCTTCCTTAATTTGTACCTAAAAAATTAAGGTGAATAGGAATATAAAATAGATATTACTAAGCATTAATATAAATAATTAAAAATGGTATGTGGATCTCCTACCACCAGTTAAAGACAAATTACATCTCTAGTGGCATCCATTCCTATGTAAAATTGAAGTAGTCATTCTATGTTGTTTTCTAATTACATGCACTTTAGATAACAAAGATAAAAAAATGATAAACAAATATGAGTAACCAAACATAAAAATGTTATCTTTATATAGGAAAAATATTTTAGTTAACTAACAAATTAAATAATATAAATTTAAGAGTTAGGAGTTTCAAAACATTAATATTTTATTAATCAATCAATTAAGTAACACCTGTTGAAATATTACAATCATTATAAAAAACATTTGAAATATTAGATTTTAAATGAATTTTGGTGAATTGTTTTGACCTCTATATATATATATTATATATATATATATATATATATATATATATATAGATATAGAGAGAGAGAGCGGAGAGAGGAGAGAGAGAGAGAGGGAGAGAGGGAGATGGAAATTATAACATATGTACGAGTTTTAATTATATATATATTATATATATATATATATATATATAGAGAGAGAGAGAAAGAGAGAGATGAAAAATATAACATATGTGTGAGTTTTAATTAATTATCTTTTTGAAACGGTACAATTACAAAACAAAAAAACATATTTAAAATATCTAATTAAATATTTTCCACATCACCTATATAACATATGATAATATATTAACGATTAAACCACAATATACAATTATTGTATTATAATAATCCAAAAACGAAGAAAATATAAAAACGAATTAGTATAACAAACTTACAAATTAAAAGCTCTAATATAATAGCATATATCCAAAAGTGGTTATAAGACCTCAACCCAACACAAAAACCTTTAATTTGTTTTCTTTCTGAAATTTATATATGATTTGTATGCGTGTCTTCTCAAAAGATTGATATTTTTATAGTAAATTTTTCACTAAATATTTATTAAACATAATATAAGTTATAAAAATTTTGAGTGTTAAATCATAATTAAGAAAAACTTTGAGTTGCATTAATTAGAAAATAGAGTTTCAAATCAATGTGGTTTGAAAAAGAAAAAAAAATAGGTTTCAAATGAATGTGTTAGAGGAAAAATGAATCTATTATTCTATTATAATTCTATTATAAGATATATAGATAATGATTCAAAACTTGTTTTTAGTCGCTTAGGATTCTTTTCCGGTCATCGAAGAAGAGAAGATTAATATATAAAGGCTTTTTGTGCTATTATCCTTGTGCTCTTTACACCTTTCGCCAATCCAGAAATCAGAACACCCAACTCCCATGGAACCCGAACAGCAACTCAGCAAAAAAGCGGCTAAAAAGGAGGCTGCCAAGGCAGAAAAGCTCCGTCGCCGTCAGGAAGCAGCCGCCGCTGCCCCCGCCGCATCTGGCGTTGCTGGCGTGTCCATCGACCCTCCTGACCCTCTCGCCGCGAACTATGGGGACATTCCTATGGAAGATCTTCAGTCGAAGGCTATTTCCGGACGTGTGTGGACCACCGTTAGCGCTCTTACCGAAGAACTCAAAGACCGTACTGTGCTAATAAGGGGGCGTGTTCAGACGATTCGCGCTTTAGGGAAGAATATGACGTTTTTTACTGTAAGAGAGAAGGGATATACAGTGCAATGTGTGTTGGTGGCTCCTGGCATCGTTAGCTCTCAGATGGTTAAGTATGCAATGACGATTACCAAAGAATCGTTTGTTGACATTGAAGGAGTGGTAAAAGTTCCCCCACAAGCCATCAAAGAAACCTCTCAACAGGTGAAATACTCAAGTGTGTTTGTTTTTTTCCTAATACTTTTCTCTAACTTTTGAACAACAGCAATAACCATTCGTAGTTATTTGATAGGTTGAAGTTCAAGTTAGGAAGATTTATTGTGTAAATAGGGCTGCTGCTATTCTTCCTATAAATGTTGAAGATGCTTCCAGAAGTGAAGCCCAAATTGAGAAGTCTTTGGAGGTAATTTATGAAGAATGCAAACTTAATCTGCAAAATTTGTAACTCTTTTGTAGATTTTGTATATTTTGTATATGATACTACATCAGCCACTAATGAAATTATATTCTCATTTGTACACTAATATGGTTACTTCAATTATGCAGACTGGAGAAAAATTTGTTCGTGTTAATCAGGATACCCGATTGAACTACAGAATTTTGGACTTGCGAACTCCAGCAAATCAAGCAATTTATCGCCTTGAGTGCCAAGTGTCAAATGTACGACTTAATAGAATAAGATGTGTGTTTTTGTGTGTGTGTGTGTGTGTGTTTAACACTGATTTTGAAATGATTTTGTGCAGTTGTTTAGGCAGTATCTGCTAGATGAAGATTTTATAGAGATCTACACTCCAAAGTTAACTGCAGGCACTAGTGAAGGTGGTGCAGCTGTTTTTAAATTGGATTACAAGAAACAGCCAGCATGTCTTGCACAGTCACCCCAGCTTCACAAACAGATGGCGATTTGTGGTGATCTTGGTCGTGTTTTTATTGTGGGTCCCGTTTTTAGAGCTGAAGACTCCTATACCCATAGACATTTGTGTGAATTCACAGGTCTTGATATTGAAATGGAGATTAAAGAACATTATTCTGAGGTATGATTTATAAACAATGTATATCAGAAACAAATTTTGGTTATGTCAAAGTATATGTAAAGTTATAATTTTGAAAATTTAATGGGTTTTTATAGGTGATGGATGTTGTCGACCGCCTTTTTGTCAACATGTTTGACAAATTGAATGAAAGATGCAAGAAAGAGCTGGAAGCTATTGGGAAGCAATACCCCTTCACTCCTTTGAAAGTAATTCAAATCCTCTCTTCTTTCATTTGTGTAATGTTCTCCTTTTTTTAGAACACCAAATTACAATGTATATATAGATAGTGGTATATAAAAGTAATAAATTTAGAAGTTGTTCAATTTCATCATGGAAAATTACAAAAAAAAATTTATATATTTTGGGCAGTGTTACGGCTTAACTATCAATACTTTAGTTTTTCAATCAAGCCATAAAAATTTGGATAATATTTTTCAAATTAACCATTTTGACCTTTTTATATCAAGTTTCACCAATGATTTTCCAATTTCACTATTTTGACATCAAGTAAAAACGGTTAAAGTGGAAAAAGGTTTGAAACTTTAATGGTTTGATTGGAAAAAATGAAGTATTAGTGGTTAAACACTAATTTTTCCCAAATGATAATGGTTATTCTGTAATTTGCTGTTTTGTATATTGAATTTCATAATAATAATAATATGTTAATTTCTTGATGTTGTGTTTGTTATTAAATGTGCAGTACATGCGTGAAACCTTGCGGCTTACATTTGAAGAAGGAATTCAAATGCTGAAGGTTAGTAAAAAATATAACACTTTTTACTAATTTAGTTATTTTTTTTTTCTTAAATTTTAAAATATGATTCAACAGGATGCTGGCATTGAGGTGGATCCACTTGGGGATCTTAACACAGAATCAGAAAGAATATTAGGAAAACTAGTTTTGGAAAAGTATGTTTAATTTCTCAAACTATTGACCTGCCCTATACTTTTTTTCTTCCAATTTTACCCCTAAAGAAATTTTTTTCTTCTCTTATAATTATAGGTATGGAACAGAATTCTATATACTACACCGTTACCCACTTGCATCGACCTTTTTATACAATGCCTTGTCCTGACAACGCGTTGTATAGCAACTCATTTGATGTTTTCATTAGAGGTAATGTCGAAAGTAGCCCTAAAAACCTTCGAGCTTTTAGGGGTAAATATGTAAATTTGATAATGAAGTTCCATATGTTGTTTTTTCCATCCAGGGGAGGAAATAATTTCTGGAGCTCAACGTGTGCACATCCCTGAGCTTCTAGAGGCACGTGCAACAGCATGTGGCATAGATGTCAAAACCATATCATCGTACATCGATTCTTTTAGGTATATGTAGTCTATTCTTAATAAGTCCTGACTTTTTACAAAATTACCCTCGTTATATGTTGATAATTATATGTTGTGGCATTTGTTGAAGGTATGGTGCGCCACCACATGGTGGGATTGGAGTTGGATTGGAACGTGTTGTGATGCTCTTCTGTGGCCTTGACAACATACGCAAAGTCTCACTTTTTCCACGGGACCCTCGAAGGCTAGAACCGTAATTTTGCTTTCTTTTGGAACATGGGCTTTTGCCATTTTTGGTATATGAAACAAAAGAAGTTAACTGAATTTGTAATGGTGGAGCTGGAACCTGCTGTTTTTGGTTGTAAATAAATTGGAACTCTAATTGGAATCTCTCAGAAAAACTTAGTATGTATGTAGTTGAACTTACTAAAAGTTAGTAGTTTTGTATGGGTCGGGTATGCTAACAAAAATATTAAGGGAAAATAAGTTAAAAAGGTAATAATGTTTCAAAAACATACAAAAAACACCATTATTCTTTTTTTAGTGAAAAAAATATCATTTTACCGGGTATTATAGGTTAGCCGGTTAAAAGATTTATGGGAATAATTGTGCCCTTACCCTTTGTTATTTCCCCCAAAATCAAAGGTTCTTTCTTTCTCCTTCGTTTGTTCATCCTTTCCACAGAATCACAATGGATTCCAACTTCACAATCGAAGTAAATCATACAGGTTCTTTTGTTCCCAAACCGATTGTGTATTTCAATCCAGTAAAAATGGTTGTTAGCAATGTCGATTTCAGAAGCATGAGTTTCATGGAGTTCATCTCGTATGTGAAGAACTTGGTCAATGATGGAAGAATCAATGTGTACTATTGTCTTCCACAACGTTCACTGAGAGATGGGTTAAGAGTCTTGGAAGATGAAAATGATTATGTTCGTTTCCTTGATGCTGGATATGAGAATGGGGGTATGATCAATTTGTACATTGATCACAGTCAGTATCCAGTTATGGAGTGGATTGAAGAAGAGATAGCTGAAGATGGATCGATAGATGGTAATACAGATGATGATGATGATGTAGACTCTAAGCTTTCAGATGATGATTTCGTGGAGCATGAGCCTGATGATGAAGTGATAAGGGTGAGCATAATCAATTGTGCTCCTGCTCTTGGAAATGTTCGAATTTGACTTAGAATAATTTGATGAACTTGAAGATGTCATAGGAGCCGAAGGAGACGAAGAAGGGGGATGAAGATGGAACCCTAATTTGATGGATGAAGGTTATTAAAGCACGTTCAATAGTTGACATGAGGTAACCGGTTACCTCAGGTCATTCTAAAGGGTTATTTGTATTTTGTTGGTATTTTTTGTACAAAATTTTCATTTTAATGATATTTTTTTCACTAAAAAAAGAATAATGGTGTTTTTTGTACGTTTTTGAAACATTATTACCTTTTTAACTCATTTTCCCAAATATTAAATGCTATAATGTCTTCTAAGCTTCTCAAAAAGAGATATTAAGGTTGTGTTTGGCGAGCCACAACTTATAAACTAGTTCTTTTTTTAGTTTTTTTTTTTTTTTTTTTTGTAAGTTGTTATGTTTAGCAAGCCAAAAAATAGTTTATAATATGTTTTTTAAAAAAACCAATTAGACTAGTTTTTTAGGAAATTTTTTATTTTTTTTCAAATATGCATCTTAATTAATTAACGAAACACAATTTTTTAAATGTTTTTTTATGTCATTTTATATATTTCAGCTAACTTTTTAGTTAGGTTTACCAAATGTTATTTTTTATTAGTTAGCTTTTTAGCTGAAAGTTAGCTGAAGTTTTTCAGCTAGTATGTCAAACATAGTCTAAAACTTTTTTTTGACATGAAATGAATTTACCAAATTAACATTTGTTTAAAATAAGCCAATTGGTAGAGGCATAACCTCTTAGTTTGCGAGGATGAGGAGGCTAATGATCCATCCTTGGTGCAAACTTAATCATTTTCTACCCACATTCTCTACTTCTTCAATACAAGTATCCAATGAACATTTAAATATTTTTGTTTCTCTCCCATTCTAATAACCAATATATCATAGACAAATCATATTTCATATCATAGACAAATAATGTTTCATAAGGTATTGCAGCATTCAACAACAAAAAAAATGTAAATAAGCAACAAAAAACAAATATTCATCAACAAAAAACAACATTTCATAAAAAGAAATAAAAAACAGCATTTTAACAAAAAAAAACATTTCAGCAACAAAAATTTGCATTTCAACAACAAAAAACAATATTTCTGCAACAAATTTCTAATTACCAACCAAGAAAATTCTAATTTCTTATTTCTTAACTCATTAATGGCATGAATAATCTAGCATGGCTATAAACAAACAATAATGTTGCACTCAAATCTGATTTCAGATTTCTTATCAGAGCTTTAAACAAACATCAAACATCCCATAACATAATCTGATTTTTAGCGTAAACAAACACTTAAACAAGAAATTTAAGCAAGAAAGGCTATTTTCAAGAATATTTTCGGATTTCCAACAATACCCAACAACAAATTTAAGTAACAAGAAGCATTTTCAGCAAAATTAAACAACATATTTGAGTAAATTAAAGAGTTTTCCAGCAAGAATAGGCATCAACTTCATGTTACAACAGAGAAAAATGAAATAGTCGAGGATTGAAGAGGACCTGTTTCGTTTTCAGCGAAGAAGACCGGTGGTGGAGGGAGGCAGGGAGCAGTCGAGGGTTGGAGGTGCTGAAGAGAAAAAAAAAACATTGGAGGTGGTGAAGAGGAGCAAGCGTGATTTTTTTTAGGTTAAGCACTTGTGAAGACCTTAGAAGAATATAGTCAATGTCTATGTGGTGAAGACCTCGCGCATACGTTTTTAGATCTGTGCACTTCGGAAAAAACAAATACTCTGCAATGATATATGTTTGCATGTGGTCTACCCTAAAAGTGATTGCGCATATCTGCAGCAAAAAGACAAGGGAAATTTGTAGAAAAGTACCAATATTTTGAGAAAAGTTTTAATAAAGTCATAATTTTATTTTTTTTGAATAGAAAAGTCCCGACTATTTAACTTTTTGAATAGAAAAGCCCAAGAAACCGGCTAATTTATTCACTTTAGCCCTTTTTGACCTGTTCAGCAGGTCATGAAACCAAATCGTTAACTTTTACAAAATAATGAGATTTTTCTGTAGATTTCGTCCAAATTTTTATATAATGTATAAACATATTTTTTTACGTATTTATATGTATTTTTACGTATTTACGTATATTTTAAGTTTTTATATGTATATGTTTACGTATTTTTATGTATTTTAAATGTATAAACGTATTTTTTATGTATTTATATATACTTTTAAGTATTTGACATATTTTTTATGTATTTTTATGTGTTATTTTTTTATGTAGTATGTATTTATATGTAGTTTTATGTATTTTTGAAAGTTTTTTTTATATGGATGTTTATGTATTTTAAATGTATAAATGTATTTTTTTTACGTATTTATATGTATCTTTAAGTATTTTAAATATTTTTTTATGTATTTTCAAGTTTTTTATAAAGATGTTTATGTATTTTCATGTATTTTAAATGTATAAACATATTTTTTTTATATAGATGTTTCTGCATTTTTAAAGAACACTTGGGATTTTCCAAGATTTCGTACTTTTTCAAACGTATTTCACTACATGGTGTGAAGATATTTTATAAAAAAAATAACACATAAATGAACAACAACAAAGTATGAATGGAGAAGGAGACTTCCATTTTAATAAACATATTTCAATGAATATAATGATTTGAGACACATAAAATTACATAAAAAAAATATTTAAAATACTTAAAAATACATTTATATATTTAAAATACATAAACATCCATATAATAAACTTAAAAAAATACATAAATACGTAAAAATACATATAAATACAAAATATATAAAAAAATAACACATAAAAATGCATTAAAAATATATAAAATACTTAAAAGTACATATAAATACGTAAAAAAATACGTTTATATATTTAAAATATATAAAAATACGTAAACATATACATATAAAAACTTAAAAAATACGTAAATATATAAAAATACATATAAATACGTAAAAAATACGTTTATACATTATATACAAATTTTGACGAAATCTGCAGAAAAGTCTCATTATTTTGCAAAAGTTAACGATTTGGTCCCATGACCTGCTGAACAAGTCAAAAAAGACCAAATTGAATAAATTAGCCGGTTTCTTGGGCTTTTCTATTCAAAAAGTTAAACAGTCGAGACTTTTCTGTTAAAAAAATAAAATTTATGACTTTATTAAAACTTTTTTCAGAATATTGAGACTTTTCTGCAAATTTCCCAAAAAACAAAAAGCCCCAAACACAACCAGTCAAGCTGTCGTTAAAAAAAACATTGTTTACAATAAAAGTTTGGCTCACTTGAAATCAGATTCTCTCCGTTTGTAAGTAAGCAATGACATTGTTTGTGTTGTCAACTAAAATGCATCCTGGTATAGTTTGTTTGTTTGTTTTTTTAATTAATAACCTAGTTTCTTGTTCCTTCCAAACAATTGAATTTGAAGTTTATATCTCAAAGGTTAGCACGAATCCAATGCTGTAAGCACACCTACCAAGAATTCTAGGGGACTCAAGAACTCTAGAGGACTCGTGTTAAAATTGCACCAAAGTGTTCATTGATAATTGTGATTTTTTGGAGCATCAAATTTGACCTACTCTTAACTACTTCTAATTCCACATATGTCCAGACGGGACTTGAACCCTCAACCTCATGGAGGAAACCGTTGGGCTAGGAGCCATTTGGTGATGATTGTGAATTAGCGCAATGAAAAGTCGTGTAGTTCTCTTAATTAGTTTTACTACTACTCATTCTACATATCTTAAGTGCTAACCACAAAATCAGAACTATGTAGAGGCCCGATAGAATCCTTTTCCTTTGTTTATTCAATTATGTATTTTCAATCCACGATTACAAGAAAATAATATGTTTAATATGTAGGGGTTTTTTCTTTTTAAATTATAACTAGTAAAAAAAGCTTGTACTTCGCATGGAACAGTTTTTTGGGGTTTTTGATGCGTGCATTGTTTTGTTTAGTAGGTCATGTAGAAGATGGAGAGTACGTTGTTTATTGGCAACATAGTTTTATTGAGTCGATTATTGAAGAATCCAAGTTTCCTTTTATAACACCTGATTCAAGGTATTTTTCATTTTAAATCCTTAGTATTAAAATAGTTTGCAAAGTGGTCCCTAAGATGGGGGTTTAATGAAAGTTTGGGGCCAACGTGCGTATGATGGGCGTACGTGGTCAAGGGACAAAACCTAATTTTGGGGTTTGGACCCTATTTAAACCACCTTAAACCCCAATTGTTTTCTCATTCTCCAGCCTCCACTGCCCTTGTGAGCCTTATTTCGAAACCCTAACTCACCTAGAGAGATTTTTCCCTTTTTGTGTGTGTTTTAGTAGGTGTTTGGTGAACCTTGGAGGAGAAGAAGCTTGGAGAAGGAACAATGGTCAAGTTGGAGCTTATAGATCCAGAATCTGCTCTCATTTCTCAACTTCATTGAGGTATAAAAACTTCTATTTTGATAACTCAATGTGTTAGATCTAGTATAGGGCTTTGTTTTGAGCATATTATGGTCCCTTGAGTCATCCTTGTGGGTATGAGCCACTCCAGGAGCTTAGGATGTTAGATCTGAGCATTTCTGATGTTGTTAGTGCATAACATGATAATAGAATAAGAGAGAATGGCTATTTATATATATAGTCCAAACGATGTAATTCATCCAACTACATTAATACAAGTCGGCAACCAAACATACTTCACGTGACTTTTAGAAATACAAAATAGAGAAACACATCACAATCTCCATCGTGATTTAACTGAGCACATATGAAAAAAGAAACATGAATAGAACAATGACGGCAAGTAATAGTTTATATCTCCTAGTGGTTAACTTTTAAATTTTATTGTCTTTTTAAGTTAAATTATGTAATTGTTTTAATTCTTATTTTCTTTTTTAAGTTTAATTATGTAATTTTTTTAAAGTATAATATATTTTTAAAGATTTTAATTTAATTTGTATAACTAATTAATTAATTTAATTTTAATTAATATACTACTTAAATTTACATCGCACTTAGGAACAATGTCGCCACCGCCATTACCCTCCAATACGTCTCCTCCACCTGCCCATTGGAACCGATCCCAATTAATACCGTCCCTCTTTCGTTCTTCTTCTGATCGTATCGGTTGTCACCGCAATCGCTTTTCATCTTCAGTCATGTTTCTCCAACCTATTGTGGCGGCCCTCTTCAAGATCATCGACTCAAGATTCATCAACACACCTATCTCTATCTATTCTTCACACGGTTCAGCAACATATTATTCAGAGCAAAGACCGGCGACGGGAGTCGCTTGATTGCTTCATCAGACTAGTTGCGACGGTGGGTGGAGATCCCTTTCGACGGTGGGTGGAGACCAATGAAAGGGATCGACGTCAGTTCTGTTTCTGGTTTGTATAACATTAATTATATATGTCTGACTAAAATAAATAAAAAAATAAAAAATATTGATAATGTGAAGTTGTAATCAAGCGTGGTTGGACTTACAAACAAAAGGAGGGGCAGACATGTGAAGAATAAAAGTACAAGGAGCTTTGTGCAATTTTCTTTAAAGTCTTCTTTATAGTAGCTGGCCGTTGGACTTAAATTTCCAATTTCCCAAATAAACAAAAAATGGAGAATGAGAAGTGAGAGATGGTCAGACCTTTAAACGCATAGCATAGGGCTTGTCGTTGCCTCCCTCTCATTTTTCGAATTCCTAGCAGCAGACCGTTCGCTCTCTCCTTTCTCCATCCAACACAACACAGACAGACAATCGCACACACAATTTCTCCGCTGTTTTTGATCGCAGATCTATCCGAACTGTCTTCTTGCTTCCTCTACTTTTGTAATCAGAATCCTCGAATGCGTCAGTGAGTTTCTTGTTCCTTTTCCGTTTATAATTTTTGGTCTTTTTTGATAGATTGTTGAATCGCTATTGATTTTCGACTCATGAGTATCAAAATCCCTGACTGAATCGAAAATTTGTCAAGAAATTCGATTTTTTGTTCCAGTGACACGCTTCTTCGCCGAAAAATCTGTTTTTACCCAATTTTCGTTCTTTAGGTTTTGTTCGCATTCGGAAAGTCTGAATTTCTTGATGGAGTTTCTGCCATCGTAATTGATTTTATTTCCGTGGTGTGAAATGTGATGTTGATCTCCATTATTAGGGTTTTATACGCTTCATTTTTTTTTCAGAATCTTTTGTGTGAGTAGCTCCTCCTTCAACCCCCAAGAGTAGCAAACTGATAATGGTTTGTGGGAGATCGTATATAGAGAGTTACCAGCAAGTGTGGTTGAAGGTTTGCAAGAAGGTTCTCAGGGATGGAAAGTGATCCGACCAACACAGTTTCTTCTTCTGATGGGATTAGCCAGGGACTTCAGAAAATTCGAGATATACATGGGTATAGATATTACTTACAGTGTCAAAATACTTATTTCTTTTGTTTGTTTATCATTGTTGCCATGTAATTTAGTTGATGGAAGCCTCAATTAGACTTTGTACTTAGTAACATATGCTACTGTTTTTAGGAGGACAACTGGCCCTACAAGGCGTTCAACAAAGGGGCAATGGACTCCAGAAGAGGTATACAAAGTTATCAAGAAAGTTTTGACTAGTGGACATATTTCTATCCGTATGTATAGTTTTTTGGATTCTTAACTTGATGATGGATCATTGCTCTGTTATAGGATGATATTTTGTGTAAAGCTGTTCAGCGTTTCAAAGGCAAAAACTGGAAAAAGATAGGTATGTACTACACATCCTTTTCGTGGATCTTAAACTATCTACAATTGGCATCATTCCCCTTTAGGTTACAACTTACAAGACATTCAGACATGTTTTGCATAAAATTTGATCCTGATACTATCCTCAATTGTTGATTCATTGACAATCACAATTTTCACTTTCATCCAAGGAGTAGTACTTTGCCTTAAATCCTTAATTGTTGAAATGATTCATTCTATTAGAAAGTAAAAACTTTATTAAAGTCTAAATATATTTTTGATTCAGCTGAATGCTTCAAGGATCGAACTGATGTTCAATGCTTACATCGGTGGCAGAAAGTTTTAAATCCAGAACTTGTTAAAGGCCCTTGGTCAAAAGAGGTGAGTTATAATGTTTTATCGACATTTAGTTTCTTATTTATTGTTTTTTATAACATAATATCCATTGTATTCTTAACAAATGTCAGGAAGATGAAGAATTACTTCTACTAGTAGAGCAATATGGACCCAAAAAATGGTCAACCATTGCACAACAGTTACCTGGTCGCATTGGTAAGCAGTGTCGTGAAAGGTAAGCTTACTGTAGTTTATGTTCATGTGTGTGTGTGTGTGTGTGTTTTTGGCTATTTAAATATGTAATTAGATCATATATATTATCAATCGACTTTGTGAAAATACATCCAATATCAGCAAAAATTGCTGTAATTGAATGACATTGCTATAAATGAGTAAATTTTCAAAGAAAAACATTGTAATGAGAAGAAGTAAAAGTAGGATGATAAATAGCCAAAAAAATTTAAGGGTTTTATAATTAATATATTCAGGTGGCATAATCATCTGAATCCTGCCATAAACAAGGAGGCTTGGACTCAAGAAGAGGAGTTGATGTTGATTAAAGCTCATCAATCTTATGGAAATAAATGGGCTGAGCTCACTAAGTTCTTGCCTGGGAGGTATATATGCTTACTTTTATATTCAACAACAATATAACAATTTATATATATATATATATATATATATATATATATATATATTCTACAGTATAAAATACTACACTTTTTTTATTGTTGCATAAATTGGTAAAACATTTGTTGTTGTTGTTAATTGGGTTTCAGGACAGATAATGCTATCAAGAATCATTGGAACAGTTCAGTTAAAAAGAAACTGGAATCCTACCTGGCATCAGGCTTGCTTACACAGTTCCAAGGTCTGCCATGTGTCACTCATACAAATCACTCAACTCCTACTTCATCAAGAACACAACAATGTAGTGGAGACAATAATAATAGCATTCACAAAGATGTTGAGGAAATCTCTGAATGCAGCCAACCCTCAACTTTAGTCAGATGTTCATCACAGTCCCATCATGACATGGCAAAAGAAATGGTGGTAGACGATGACATGGCAGACACAATCGTTCTATACACCACAGACGATCCCCAAGAAGATTTGAATCATGGGAATGAAGAAGGGCAACCTTCCTCCAATGAATTCCAAATTCAGAGTACAATCTTGAGGACGGAATCGGAATTGGAAAACCCGGATTCAGTTTTGAGAGAGGACCCGGAATTGGCAACCTCGGATTCGGTTATGAGACAGGAACCGGAATTGCGAAACCCGGATTTGATTGTGAGGGTGGAATCGGAATCAGATTTCTTGCAGTGTATAGATGTTGATCAGAACAATGTTGTTGGTTTTGATATGGATCCACACCCACCTGAAGGATCATCCGATTCCTTATTTTATCAACAACCCAACTCCGGAATCCCTGATTCCGACGCTTCGAATCCGGAATCATATTATTCTCTCTTGATGGGGACTGCATCCGATCAATTTAACGCTCTTTCTGTTGGAAACCAAGAATTCACTGGACTTATTTACAACTCCGGAATCCCTGATTCCACCGATTCTCATTTCATTAATGATCAAGATAATGTAGGGGCACAAGAAGAAGTAAATGGCACTCAAATTGATGACAACAGTGGTTTTCAAGAAAACGTTACTCAAACCCATCCATCAATTGATGAATCCGGTGTTTTACAAACAGAAATGAATCCAGGATTCCTATCTTATGAGCCACCACAGTTTCCATCATCAGATATTCCGTTTTTTAGCTGTGATTTGATACAATCTGGTGGAGAATTACATCATGAATATAGTCCACTTGGTATTCGTCAACTTATGATGACATCATCAATGAGCTGTTTCAGTCCATGTAGATTATGGGACTCCCCTTCACGTGATGACACTCCTGAGGTGGTGTTGAAAAATGCTGCAAAGACTTTTACGTGTACACCATCGATTATGAAAAAGAGACATCGGGAATTGTTGTCACCTTTATCTGAAAAAAGATGTGGGAAAAAGGTGGAATGTGTCTCGATTGTTAACATGGCTAAAGATAAAGAAAATTTGAATCCAGATGATGAATTAGCAGCTCAAAAAGAGGGGAACAAAAACACAACAGCAAAAGTGAGTTTAGAAATATCATGACTTATTATTATTATATGTGGTTGTTTACTCAAAAACATGTTTTTGAGTTGTTGTTAGGTTGAAGATCTAAGTGGAGGAGGAGTTGTTGTTGAACAGAATTTAGATGATTTATTATTTTCTCCTGATAAATTTGCAAACAAGTTATATACTACACCTAAGGGCCCACGTGCTGCTAGAACAACACCTGGAAGAATGAGCTCAAAGAGAAACAACAAGGGGGGAGGTGGAAGTCGGTTTGGTGCATCCTCTGTACAATTACAATCTTGCCCTTCATCATCAGCACCTCTTGAAGTTACTGTTGATGATGCTGTGGTTGAAAACTCCGGAATGTATGTATCATTTTTTTTTTTTAAAATCTATTTGATTTTAATCAGATTATTATTTGATTCATATGATTGATGATGTATATGTATTTTTGTGTATAGATTTGGGGAAACTCCATTCAGGAAAAGTTTGGAATCACCTTCTGCATGGAAGTCACCTTGGTTCTCTTTTGTGCCTGGTCCAAGAGTTGATACAGATATTACAATTGAGGTAATAACAATTTCCTTTTATTTAACAAAAAGACCAAAATACCCTCTGTTTATGTTTTGTGTGTTGTTTTGTTTGTAGGATATGGGTTACTATATGAGTCCGGGTGAAAGAAGCTATGATGCTCTTGGGTTAATGAAACAGTTAAGTGAACATACAGCTTCAGCATATGCAAATGCTCGGGAGATTTTGGGAGATGAAACTCCTGATTCCATTCTAAAGAAAAGATTCTCAGAAAAAGGCGAAAAGATTCGACAAGAATCAAATCTTCCAGTATGTTTATTTTCTTTGCTTTTTTTGCAACTATTATTATATCTGTAAAAAAAAGGTTATTCTTTCAGCAACCCCTGAGCTGGCCCACACTGTCAGTGGTTGTGGTTGTGGTTGTGGTTTGCATATTTCATTTTTTTTTTTTTGTTTTAATAATTTGAGATTTATTATATATTTTGCAGAGTGAAAGAAGGGTGTTGGATTTTAGTGAATGTGGGAGTCCAAGGAAGGGTGGTGGTGTAAGTTTGACAAGCCCATCTTCCTACCTCTTGAAAAGTTGCAGGTAGAGAGTGTGGAGTGGTGGTCAATGTGTACAACAAACATCTTAATTTTTATAAATTTTATATTTTTGATATCAAATTGCCATTTGTTGTGTTAACATATGGATGTCTCTCCCCTTCTCTACTCAACCCATATCCTATTTTGAATTAATATAAACTTAATTAAAGTCATCGTATATCTATATCTATATCTTATCTATGAATTCGGGTACTTGAGTAGTTGTGTTCTTTGTTTGGGCATATCAATAAACTTGACACAACGATTAAATGGGTTGTATGTTCGATAAATAAGTTGAAATTGGGTTGGACTTATTTAATGGGTGATTGAGATTACTTATTTGAAGTGTTTAATGATTTATTGTGGTTTCTCACCAATAATAAGTTATTTTAATTGTTTGGATATGAGAATATTAAAAGCATCTATTCACTTAAATAATAAGTTTTTGATAAGTTGTTTTCTTATTACACGTATAAACAAGCTTGTCAAATATTTAAAAATAATTTATCATCTTATTACTTTTTGTCACCAAATAAGTTAATTCAAACAAACTTGCCAAATATTTATTACTTTTTGACACCACACCACATAAGCTAATTCAAATGTTTTTTTAGAACTTTGATTATCTTCAATGGTAGTTTTTTCTACAGTTTTTAATATTTGAAAAAACGTTTGGAAAGCTTTTTATCATTGAAAAAGAAGGCGTTTTTTCTAAAGTTTTTTTACTATTTTTCTCTAACCTTTTAAAAAAAATTAAGATATGTCATATTTGATCCATATATTTAATAACCCTTTATTTTATACCTTTGTTATATTTCAATTAGATTTGCTTATTATTTAATCAATTAATTCAATAAACAAAATAGAAATGAGTATATTTTATAAAAAAAGTTATAGATTTATCAAATATTATAAAATATTGCAGTTATATAATATTTTATTGTTTTTTCTTTCTGTAACTATGTGAGAATTTTATTATCTTCTATAGTTTCAGAAGAAAAAAAAAAAACCCAAAGTTATTTTTTAGTTATATTTTTTTGGCATTAAGTGTATAAAAAGGATATATATGACATATGTTGATTAATGATAAATACTTGGTAAGTTTTTTTTTTAGAAAAATTACATGAGAAATACCCGAAAATATAACATATGTTAGTATTAATAATAAATTATATGAAGGGACTTAATAAAACATTTAAGATATATAAATGATAAATTAGTTAAGTTTAAGAAAAAAAACTTATGAAAAGGTTAAGCATTTATGGTATTTTATGAAAGTTCTTTATTAGATAAAAGTCATTGAAAAAGATGATGTGACAAACTTAATAAGTATTTATAAGGTTAACTAAATATTAAAAAGAAATTGTTTTAAATAAGCAAATCCTAATCACCCTTTAAAAGTCCTCTTACACCTAACTTTTTTTTACTTGTATATAATTTTTATAGATCATACTCGTTTTATTTTAAATTATTCAAATGGTTGAGAGACCATACCGTTTGACAAAATAACAAATAACAAACCGCATCGCAAAATTTATAAACTGAATGAATGCCTCTAAATGCAATTGATATCATACACTTCTTAATAAATCATGTTAATAAAACTCCTCTAAATACAACTGATGTCATACACTTCTTAATAAATTATGTTAGTAAATTCACCAACATCCTGATTACAATTCACCACCTCCAATTTAAGAAGAAAAACTACTATCAAATGAGCTAGTCACACATTAACATTCAAATTAGTTCACGGTCCGTATAAGTATTTATTTCACCGGAAATGTTTACAGATTTATATGATGATCACGAAACAACTTACGATTACTTGACTTGCATTAAAGATCAAATCTTCAATAGAATATTCACACCACCCTTTTGTGATGCAGAACGTATCAAGGCTTTAAAAAAATATTTATGTAAACAACTAGGAGAAGGACAAAAATGACGTATTACAACTCAAACAAAAAAGACATGACAACTGATTAGCTGGGATTTACTACGCCCATAGCCCCATCTCATACCCGGAGCTCCAAGTCCTAACAAAGCTAATTTCAATATAGGTGTTTCGTTATTTCATCTGGTTCTACTATATGATCTTATTTTGTTTTGAATTAGACATGGATTTGGTAAACGTATTTTGTCGTGCCATATTTATACCAAGTTTAACTTAACCCAACTTCACATGTTTATTCTTCGTGTCAATGTTGTTAGGATCGAGACACTAACACGAAACTCTCTCTCTCAGCTCACGAATTATAGAAAAACAAGAACACAATGATTTATAGTGGTTCGGTCGAATTTCTGACCTACGTCCACTCTTGGTAACTAGGAATATATTCTATTGATCTTGGTACAACGTTTACAAATACATATGATTACTATATATAGAGATTGAAATTGCAAGTTGTCAAAAGTAGCTGCTAATCATGATCCGTGAAACATGGTGCCATGATTTCTTGCATGTTTTCTGCCTTTACTTTTGTCTGCCACTAAACAAGTGGCTTCACCACTCAACAATCTCCCACTTGAAGCCACGGAACAATTTTCACCTGTGCTTCAACTGTGCATCTGTATTTCTGTAAAACGATTTTGACCTTGACTCCATCCTAATTACCCGGCCTTCTCTTCAATTATCCTGAAGGCCAGTTGAAGCTATGCAAAGCTTCAACTTTTCTAAGGTGACAACCTTAGTCAACATATCAGCTGGATTTTCAGTTCCTTTGATCTTACTCAACTTCAGAGTGTCATCATTAATTCTTTCTCTGATGAAGTGATATCTCAGTTGTATGTGCTTTGTCTTCGAATGGAAGACGGGATTCTTTGCAAGATGAATTGCACTTTGATTGTCACAAAATAATGCACAATCATCTTGTTCTTTGCCAAGTTCGTTGAGAAAATTCTTCAACCATATAAGCTCTTTGCTTGCTTCAGCAACTGCCATATACTCTGCTTCTGTGGTTGAAAGGGCAACACTTTTCTGTAGTTTGGACATCCAACTTACTGCAGTGCCGCCCACTGTAAAGACATACCCTGTGGTGCTTTTGTATGAATCTTTACAACCACCAAGATCTGCATCTGCATAACCATTCAGAACTACGTCTTTTCCCTTAAAATTTAATGCCGTCTTTGAAGTCCCTTTCAAGTATCTCAACAACCATTTAACTGCTTCCCAATGTTCTCTTCCCGGATTGGACATGAATCTACTAACAACTCCCACTGCATGAGCTATATCTGGTCTCGTGCATACCATTGCATACATGAGGCTACCAACTGCGGATGCATAAGGAACTTTAGCCATTTCTTTCTTGTCTTCATCTGATCTGGGTGACTGAGCTTTAGAAAGCTTAAAGTAACTTCCCAAAGGTGTGCTTCTGATCTTGGCATCTTTAAGGCTGAATTTCTCTAATACTTTCTCAAGGTACTTTTCTTGAGATAGTGTTAAAGAACCATCTTTGTTTCTGAATATACTCATCCCGAGTATTTGCTTTGCAGCTCCCAAGTCTTTCATTTCGAACTCTTCAGACATCTGTTTCTTCAACTTCTTGATCTCTGACATGTCTGAACCGGCAATCAACATATCATCTACATAGAGTAGTAGAATGATATAAGAACCCTTAAACTTCTTGATGTAACAACAATGATCATTGTCACATCTCTTGTAACCAACTTTTCTCATGAAGTTATCGAACTTCAAATACCATTGTCTGGGTGCTTGTTTCAGACCATACAAACTCTTCTTCAATTTACACACCAAGTTTCCTTTGCCTTTATCCTGAAAACCCTCTGGTTGTGTCATGTAAATGTCTTCATCTAGGTCACCGTGTAGAAAAGCTGTCTTGACATCTAGTTGCTCTAGATGCAAACTTTCTGCTGCTACAATACTGAGAACAAGTCTGATAGTGGTCATCTTCACTACTGGAGAGAATATTTCATTGAAATCAATTCCCTCTTTCTGTTGAAAGCCCTTGACTACTAATCTTGCTTTGTACCGTTTGGTACCATCATGTTCATCCTTCACCCTGAAAACCCATTTATTCTGAAGAGCCTTCTTCCCAACTGGAAGCTTTGTTAAGTGCCATGTGTTGTTCTTCTCAAGCGACTTCATTTCATCTTTCATTGCTAGCTCCCACTGCAATGAATCTTTCAACCCTATAGCTTCAGAGTAACACTGGGGTTCACCGTTTTCTGTCAAAAGAATGTAGTTGACAGATGGTGAGTATTTGTTTGGTGGTCTTGTGACTCTGGAAGATCTTCTTAGTTGAACTTGAGGTGTGACTGGGGACTCTGGAGTTGGAGGACTGGTTTCTTCATCTTCAGAATCATTACTGGAATTATCCCCTGAGCTCCCACTGTCAGTTGAATCATCCCCAGATTCAGGGATTTCGACTGGAGCTTTTTTCTTCTTTTCAACACCTTCAAACTCAACATACTCCTTCTGATCTTCTGGACTTTTGTTGTTTCTGTCTTTGTATAACTCGGCTTCGTTAAAGGTGACATTCTTGCTTCGGATTATCTTTCTGCTCTCACTATCCCAAAGCCTGTAACCCATTTCATCCGACCCATAACCAATGAATGTACACTTCTTGGTCTTTGAATCAAGTTTATCCCTGTCACCATCTTTTAACAAACTGTAAGCAGTACAACCAAAGACTTTCAGGTGTTTGAGACTTACTTCCTTCCCTTGCCACATTTCTTCTGGTAATTTAAAATCCAAGGGAACACACGGTGAAAGGTTGATCAAGTAGGCTGCAGTATTAACTGCATCAGCCCAAAATGTCTTAGGTAAACCAGAATTCAACCTCATGCTTCTAGCCCTTTCATTCAGAGTTCTATTCATTCTTTCAGCTACACCATTCTGATGAGGGGTTCCTGGGACCGTCTTGATCATCTTTATCCCTTGCTTGGCACAATAGTCAACAAACTCCTTGCTTATGTATTCACCACCATTATCCGACTTCAGGCATTTTACCTTCAAATCAGTTTCATTTTCAACAGCAGATTTCCATATCTTAAAAGTATCAAATACATCAGATTTATTTTTAAGAAAATAGACCCATACCTTGCGTGTTGAATCATCGATAAAGGTCACATAGTAGTTTTTGCCTCCTAGAGATGAAACTGGTGTTGGTCCAA